CCCCCCCCCCGCAACCTATTAGGGAGGAAGAACTGATGGTGCAGGGGTAGGAGAGTTGCTGGAGCCTCATCCCTGAGGAAGGGAGCGGGGAGAGGAGAGCCGGTGCCTGGGGGGAGGCGTGGCCCAGCCTGGAAGAGCAGTGTGGGCACAGCAGCAGGTGGGTTGGTTGTCTTCTGAGTGTTTCCATTCTCTCTGGAACAGGAAGCAAGGTCATGGGCTGCGAGTGAGGAGGGGAGGAGTGATGGAGGTTCTAGGAGAAGGTGTGTCTAGGAGAGCAGGAGAGTGAGTAGACCAGGGAGACATTCTGGATTGTCAGGCAGCACGAAGTGTCCACTCGAGGTTAGCATCAGAATTTAAAGTAGGCATTAGCCAGATCTAGCGGGGAGGAGATCCAGGAAAGGGATAGGCGTTGTTTCTCTTCTGACCCACCTAGCTGGGGCTGGTGGGGCCAGGATCTCTTGACTTGTCCTTCCCCAAGCTGGAACCAAGAGTGTAGAGTCCTCTGTGGCTTGAGGGGTCTCCCAGCTCCTCCTTCCTCCCAAGAGGATCAGAATTAACTTGTAGGGATAGGAGGCAGAGTGTGATAGGGAAAGCACTGGTCAGGGAAGTGGGAGGTCTGGGGGCTAGCGCCAGTTGGGACTAGCTGTGTGACTTGAGCAGATCACTTACCCTCTCTGGGCTGCATTTCTCTGACTTCACCCTATCTTCCAGACTTGTGGTTCAGTCTAACATGGTAGGTGGATTACTCCACAAGGTGGAGCCCCTCATTTTTTTTAACGTCTACCTTGATCAAACATTTATCAGATTTATCGTATGAACAAATAAAATGGGTGTATTTCACAACAAGGTTACCTGAGTTTTGGGTACTGTCATATCTCATATTCTAACGTGATTCATTCATTCATTTAAAAAATACATGCTAAGTGCCATCTATAAGCCCGGCAGTCCCTGCACTGGGGGCTTGTGGCTCAGTGGGCAGCATCTGACACAGTCCGCCTGTCCTCGTGGAGAGTGTGGTCCAGTGGGGGCAACAGGCACGAAGCAGGTGGTCACAGAGGCAGGTGGTGGCAGGGGAGAAGCACTGAGAAGGAAACAGAGGAGGCAGCCCCAGCCGGGAGCCAGGGCAGTTCCCCAAGGACGGTGACAGCTGAGCTGGAGCTAATGTGGCAGAGGGGGTGGGGGCTGGGAAGAGCCACAGCACGTGCAGAGGCCTGGAAGTGGGAGCAAAGGAGCCCAGGGACCAGAAGTGAGGGAGGAGGAGAGGGGGGCAGGGTGGACCTGCAGATGCAGCTGTGTGGAACCTTGTCCTGAGAGTAATGGAGAGTCGTGGAAGGGTTTAAGCAGGAGTCAGACTTACATTTTGAAAGTAGCTAACTGCAGTGAGGAGAGTGGCTTAAGAGGGGCCAAAGAGGGTGTGGAGAGACCCTGGGAGATGCCCAGATTTATCAGGAGGGCGGTGGGGGAGGTGATGGGGGTAGCAGTAGGATAGGTGAGACAGAGAGAAGTAGACGGGTTTGAGACTTAGGGGGTAAAATGGGCCAGGCCTTGGCAATGGACTGTGAGGGGTAGGGGTGGGGGTGAGGGGAATGCTTGGTCTCTGACCTGCTTGCCTCGACTGGGTTGTGGGGCACTGCTGTTCATGAGGACAGAGACTCTGGAAGGGGACTGGGTTTTGGGGAGGCGGAGCCATGCTGGGCTTGGGGCACGTTTGCACATTAGTGGAGGTGTCAGACAGGCATCTAGATAGGGAGATGCACATTTGAGTGGTAACTGACCACAGAGGTGGAACGGAAGCCCTGGGGTCAGATGAGCCAGTCTGGAGAGTGAGGGAAGAAGCAGAGGGCCTGGGGATGACCCTGGCTGAAGTCCTCATCCTCCTCCTACCCAGCGCGCCCTGTGTTCCCATCTCCTCGCTGGGTACCACTGTGCATCCACTGTGGAAGCCATGAGTCTGGGCACCACTGTTGTCGTCTTTCCACCTCTTTCAGGCTCTGCCGGTTTAACCTCTGGCCCACCTGCTTCCCGTACACTCCCTTGCCTAGACGTTGCAACTTGTTCGCAAGCGGCAGGACCCCTGTTGTCTTACTCTTGCCGGCTGCCGTCTCCTCCTCAGGGTTCTGGGGGTCTGTGGTGGTCTTCGGCACTCAGCCCCTTCACCCTGAATGGAGTCTTTCTGTTGTTTCTCAGATGCGCCATGCAGGTTCAGCACCTGTCCCTCTGCCTGAAATGTCCTCTTCCCTCGTCCTGTTTGCTTGGCAAGCTCCTGCTTATCTTCCAAGACCTGCTCAGCAGTTTCCCCAAGCCCATTTAACTATCTCCATGTCTGCGGGCTGCCTGAGGGCAGGGCCTGTGTCTTGAGTGACCTTCCTGTCCCCACAGCAGCCTAGCTCAGAGGGAACTCTTTGCTGCCAGCAGACTTAATCAGACCACTCTGCTCTTCCCCTCAGTTCAGCACCAGCACTGACCCTTTCCAGAAGGCCCTGAGAGAAGAGGAGAAACGCCGGAAGAAAGAGGAGAAGCGGAAAGAGATCCGAAAAGGCCCTCGGATCTCAAGATCCCAGTCTGAGTTATAGCCCTGGAGCAGCCCGGGGCTCAAGGGGCCAGGAGGAGGCCAGTCGGGAGGAAGAGGACAACGCAGCGGTATGACTGGTGGTGAGAGCTGGCCCCTGTGAGAGGGGAGGCCGAGTTTGCTCAGCCCCCTGGAGCTGGCTCTGAGCCCCAGCTGAAGGGACTGGGCTGCAGAGGGCTGCATTTCTCCCCAGGGACCTCCCTGGAGGGGTGCCAAGGGAGCCTTCAGAAGGCGCTGCAGACCTAACCCTGTAGAGATGCTGGGGGGGAGCAGGAGGGATCCTGGGCTGGACTCTTCCGCTGGGTTAGGACCGCTGGCCGGCTGGCTGCTGCCCTTCCTGGCGAGGCAGCAGAACTAGGCTCTGAGCCATGTGTGGAGGTGTCATGACTGCTGCTGGCCCCACTGTGTCACTGAGTTCCCTGGCACAGTTGTCCCCTGCAGAGACAATAAAAGCCAGCAAATGCTCTGGGCTAGCAGGTTGTTTTGGGCCCTAGGGAGCTGTGAGCCTCTCCATGGGGCAGGTGAGAGGGGCCTGGGTCGGGGGATAGGGGGCCCTCAGATGTAGAGACCACCTTAGAGGATATTCCTCCTCAGAGGAGGAGCCTCAAGCCCTGGCGGGGCAGCAAAGCAGGGGCTTGGCTTTGACCTCCAGTTCCCTTCTCAGCACTGTCATGGACAAGGAAGGGATCAGTGTTGAGAAGGGACCAGAAGTATCCTGGGAGGGTGTTTAGCCCAAGACAGCCTTGGAGCAGCATGATCTCTGTCCTCAGATATCCAGGGAAGTCATTGAGCAGGCTCGGGGAAGAATCAACTTGTCCTCTCTGGCAGCGCAGGGAGACCGTATCCTGCGGGTCGGGGGCTCTTGGGGGACAGGCTGCAGCTCTGCAGGAGGCTGTGCTTTGTAATGGTAGGGCTACTCCAAGCTGGATTGATCAGACAGCAAGCTCCCTGTGTCAGGAGGTGTGTAAGAAAAGACCAGGGCCATGGAGCAGGGAAGCTGCAGAGGGAGTTAGGCCCTGAGTGGGCAGCCGCCCTTGTCATATCCCTTCCAGGCAGAGAAGGGAGGGGCTCTGGGGGGAATTCTAGCTCTGTCTCTTTGACTTTGCCAAGCCACCGGAGAGACACACAACTATCCCCAACCCTCTACCACTAACAGTGCCCAAGGGAGACCCAGGGTCTTAGCCCATCAGACTTGCTGAGTGACCCTGGCCCACCCCTTCCCTGTGCTGTGGCTTCATTGGTGTAATGAATTTGATAATGTCTGAACCCTCTGGCCAGCCCTAAACTGCTTCTCTGAGGTTGGGGCCTGGCTTCTCAGTGACAAGAGCCCTTCTCTGATGGTTCTTCGGTCATCGCATAGATTTGCTGAGCACCCACTATATGCACAGCCAAAGAGAGGAGCCCAGTCTTAACTTGTGTTCACCTCTGTCCCATTTAGCATCTTTATCCTCCTGGGTTCTTCCTTCTACACCTTCACTTCTCACCATCTTGGTTGATCCCTTCCTCTCCACCCTCCAGTGGGCCCAAGTTTTCCCATCTGACACCTTCAAAGGTACAAACAGAACCACTCTGCTCTCTTCCCTGGGCAGCTCCAGCTGGGAGCTATGGGAACAGCTGCAGAGTGGAAGGCACTGTGCCCATTTACCTGACCTCCTGGTACTCAGGTAGGCCTCTGCAGAGGGTTACTGAGGCTCTGCGACGGGAAGGCATTGGACCAAAGTGAAAGTGAGTCATATGGTATGCTAGCAGACAGTCACCCCCCCACTGTGTGGAGCCCTGTGAGAGCCACTGAATGGTGGAGTTGCAGGTGGCACTGTCCAGCTCAGTGCCTGGTCCAGAGCAGGGCAGCAGGGTTTGGTTTTCTGTTTCAGGGTGAGACTAGTATAATCTATACCAACCCTCCTGCATGTAAACAATGAAAAGACTTTCTTGTCTTTTTTCCCCCCAAATAAGGTACTTTATTTATTATGTTATACATGTTAATTATAAAAAGTAATTTAAGTAATACTGAAATAGCAAGAAAATAGTAAAATTCACCCTGAATCCCACCATTCCCATAACCATCACTGACACTCAGCTCTTGGGCCTTCCATCCTTTTTGTCCTTCATGTGACAGACAGATCACATGTAACTTTTCAGTTACAGTAGCTACCTTGTATGGGCACTGTGTGTCAGGACGTATTCCAGGTGCTGGCTTGCATCAGCTCCTTCTGCCTCGGGGCCTTTGTCCGTGTTGTGTGTTCCCCTAGCTATGCCAGATGCAGTTCTCTCCTCATAATTTTAGGTTTTGTCTTAAATATCAATGCCTGTTTTCTTCACCAGACTGGAAGCTCTCAGAGGGCAGGAACTGTCTCTCTGCCTGCCACAGAAATGTTCAATAAATATTGTCAAATGAGTGTGCAGATGATCTCACTTAATCTTCACCACTACAAGGGTGCACTGTTCCCCCAGTTTTAGAGATAAACTGAGAAAAAAAAAAAAGTTATTTAACCAGCCCAAAGTCACACGGTTTGTAAGCGAATCCACATGGCTGCCTCCACCCAGCCTTTGAACTCTTAGGTCTTGACCACAAAGCAACTGCTACCTCTCACAGACTAGCAGGAAACATAGTGTTTCCTTTTAACAGTATATCGCGGAAGTCTTTGTCAACAGGTATATTCATCAGGTCCTTATTGGGCTTCCCAGTTTTTCCCAGCTACAGCAGACTCTGATGAGCTCCTTTGAGGGCACACTTCTCTGAGCACTCATACGTTTATTCCTTAGTATAAATTCCTAGAAACCTGCACAGTTGTTTACATCGTGACCAACTGCAACACTGGAAGTGCGGTGGCTGAAGGAGTGGGAATCCGTGCGTGGGTTGCGCCTCAGAATCCCTGCGGAACTTTGTCAAGATGTGCTCGGAACCCACCTCAGAATGCCTGGGGTGGTACCGGGCACTGGCATTATTGTAAAGGACTGCAGGAGATTCTGAGGTACCCGAGGTGAGGCAGCTGGAGTAAGCGCGTGGTCGCGGCAGGTGCAAGGGCGCAGAGTTTGTAAAATACGCTCCGTACTTGGGCAGTTCGCGAGCCTTTGTAAGGGGCTTGGGAGAATCGCGACGTGAACGATCTCCATACTCCTCCGGGCCCCAGTGCTGCGGTCCAATTTTGATTCTACCCGCCACCCAAGCGGGCTGGGGGGGCCGGGGCTAGGGTGGGGGAGAGACAGCTGGGACGATGACGTAATGTGCTCAAGGCTTACTCTGGGGGCGCCCAGCGGGCGGGGGGGGCGGGTTGGAAGGTGTTAACCCTTCATTCCCCAGCGGGTGGATGGAGTAGCTTGTGGAGCCGAACCAACAGAAAAGGGAGCGGTTCCTTTAAACTACGGGAAGGAGGTTGGGCTGAGGACCTGGAGGCTTCTCTTCGCATTCGCTAAGAGGCCGCCAGGGGAGGGGCCTCGATATGCAAATCTGAGCTGCTGATCGTTGACGCGCCATCACCCCACGCGCCGCTTCGCGCGCCGATTGGCCAGGACAAGCCTGGTCCCATTGACAACAAACAAGGGGGCGCGCGCGGCCTGGGGGCGGGGCCACAGAGGGCGCGGGTTGGGGCGGGGCAATGCCGCCCCGCCCCGCCCGCGCGGCGCAAACATGGCGGCGGCTGGCACCGGCCGGTGAGGCGGTACCCGGCGGGGGCTGTTGGGTGTCATGGGCGGTGACGGCGGCCTGCCTGCCTGTCGCCCTAGAGCACCAGGTGGACAGAGGCAAGGACAGCCGTCCGGCACCCCTCAGCGCCTAACCCAGGGCCTGAACGTGGGGAGCCCAGGCTGCAGAGGAGGCAAAGGGGAGGCGCCGAAGGAAGAGCACCCAGGGCTCTTCTGGAAAGTTCCGGGACCTCGGTCGGTGCTGTTGTCCCGGCAGCGGGAGACTATTTCTCAGTCGCCCCCTCCTGGGGATGCCGCCAGAGGGAGAGGAAGCTGCCTGGCGTTGGGGGGGGGGGGGGGGGGGGGGGCGGGGGCGTTCGGGGAGGAAGGGGTTACGGCGGCGCGCGCGGGTGCGCGTGCGCCCACCCCCCGGCAGCTCCGTCTCGCGCGGAAGACCCTGCAGGCGCGGTCGACCCGGCTGTCCCCAACCCTTCCGGGCGCTGTGGGTTTGAGCCCCGCCCGGCCGTTCCGCTCGGGCAGGCCGCGGGATCTGCTTCGGGGCGCCTCGTGTCCGGAAGCGCAGCGAGGGTCGTGGGGTCGGGAACGCGGAGCCGGGGGCGTCGCGGGGGCCTGGCGGGAGCAGCCAGAGGAGAGCGCGCGGCCGCTGCCTCCTTCGCGCTCCTACACGCGCGGTGCGAGGTCACGCTTGCCCGCCCAGTGGCTCCGCGTCGCACCTGTCACTCCACTCCCGGCCGCGTGGGCGGCTTTGGGATTCCCCGGGCCGGGACCCCAGGCTCTGCGCCCTCACCCCTGGTCTTCCCGGGGTTGAAACAGGGCCGAGTCTCCTGGCTCCTGGGAAAACTTTGGGCAGCGAGCGGCTGCAGAAGCAAGTTGCTGATGAAGCGAGTGGTGGCGGCGGAGTGTGGACGCATCTCTCCGGGATAGAGACCCGGGCGCTCCTGCTGTCGCGCTGCAAAGGGAGTTGAGCGGCAGGAATTTTGAGCTGTGGCCCCTCGGGGACAGGCTGGGGAGCGGGTGGCCTTTGTTCCGGCGACCTTAACAGCGGAGAGGAAGAGCTGGTAGGAGCACAGGGATCATTTTGTGATCACGGAACCCAAAGTTTGGAGAGGGTCAGCGACTTGCCCAAGGTCACCCAGCTGGTTACGGAGCACAGTTCCTGGGCCAGTGTTGGTGTCGCTGCTCCATCAAGCTTTCACCTGCTCCTTGGGGGCGAGGAGTCCAGTGAATAGGTTAGTCATCATAATAATAACTCTGAATAGGTGGGCTCTTCTGATATTCTAGGCCCCAAACGCTTAAATTGTTTCACTTATTCCTTACTACAGTCCCTTAAGATAGATACTCTTTTTGCTCCCATTTTACAGGAGAGTGAGGCCAGAAGATGTTAACTTGTTTAAGGTCACTCATTTTAGATTGTCCAGAACCCATACTCTTAATCAGTAACTCAGGTGCATTGTGCTCTTGAGTTTACAAAGTGCTTTCATGTCCAAGATCTCACTACAGCCTTGCAGGCAGGTATGATGACTACAGTCTCATTATACAGATGAGGAAACCGAGGCAGCAGAAGATTCTCTTCCAGGGGAAGAGATAGTGGCAACAGCTAATTGAAAAGAATCCGTTTCCCATTTTGCTTCTGTAACATTTCACCCCTTGGCCTGACTTTACTTTCTGATTTTGGTCATCCAGGCAGTGTGGTAAGACCCTTAAATGAAGCCCCAAGTCTAACTACAGACTTTTCCACTGAATGCTCAGAAATACAGAAATGTGTTGAGAAATGGGGGAGGGAGGTTCTTGGAACTTAAGGGCAGCTAACATGTTTTGAGTACTTATGTGCCAGGCACCATGTTAAGCAGTCATTGCACATTAATGTTCTCAATCCTTAACAAGTTCCATCAGGTAGAGACTGCTTGTTATACTGCATTCATCCCCTCTTCATAGATCCTGAAACTGAGGCTCAAGGCAGTTCATTAACTTACCCAAGGTTACACAGCCAGTAAAGAGCATGTCCAAAGCTGCCCACTAGCAACCTCATACAAAGAAATTCATGTGCATTTTGCATTCCCATTCCAAAACTGATTCTTATTTATCTTAATTTGTAATGTGTTAAAGTACCTGGTGGTTAAGTATTAACCTTATCCCTATAGATTTCTGAGTGATATGTATGTTGCAGAAACTACCACAGTGGTTCCGTGGCTTCACAGGGCTCCATATTAGATTTGGGGGAAAATGGCTCCCTGTCTTCACTGGTCAACAAGTATTCAAGTGCAAGCTGTAGGGAACATGAAAAGATAGGAAAGATAGAATTTTATGGCTTTGTGGAGCTTGAGATGAATAATAATAAAACTATAGTGCTGAGTATAGAACAGCTCACAGTTATGCAGAGCAGTTAGTGAAAGTAAGCATGGAGGGAGCTTGGTAAAGGCTGGCTTACCAGGAAGACCACACCAAGGAGATGGCCCTGGATGTGGGTCTTAGAGGAAAGAAGCGTTGGGTGGGCTGAAGGCCAGTGGTCTGCAGGCACAAATATCCCTGAAAACTTACCCATCCATCTCCCTCCAGAACATCAGCCCCATGAGGGCCAGGGCCTTCATTTTGTTTCTTTCACCTAGAATTAAATATTTGTGGGGTGCCTGAATGAATCCAGGGACCTTGAGCTAGGCAGGATCCTAAGTTATACTAGACTCAGCCCTTGGTGTTGGTTTAGGTCAGAGCTGGCCAGCCCAGATGGTTCTAGGAGCTGGTTGGGTGAGGAAGAAGAGATGCTGTGGGTAGTGGGGGAGAGAGGGTATGTGCCACCTCGAGAGCACATGCCAGCCTCTAGGAGGCAGCCATGTGGGTGTGAGGTGATGATCCTAAGAGGGTGATGGGATGGGGATAAGAAGTGGCCATTGTGCAAGGTGCTGGATGTGACAGGACATGGCCTCAGTGAAACTTGGCCCTGAACGCAGAGCAGAGGTGGAATTCTAAGATCCCATTAAGGCTCTGATCCTGGGCATTGGGAGGGCTCAGAAGCTAGCAGGAAGAGCTGGTTTGGGGAGGTGATGAAAATTTGTCTTAAATGGACTGAAATTGAGGTGCTAGTAGGAGATGGGAGGCAGATAGGAGAAGGTTAAAACTGGGGGTGGAGATTGAGGACTAGTCACCCACCCATATTGATGAGTTGAGTATAGAGGTGAGAGGAGAAGATGGAACCGGAGGTCAAATCAGGTGAGGGAAACATAATAAGCTAAGGGGAAGTGAGCTTTCTGAGGAGCAGTTAGTGGATGATGGAGATAGTGCTGCAGAAGACAGCAAGGATGACAAGGCCATGAAAGGACTCATGGGATTTGGCAATTAGGAGATCCACCTTCGACACAGCAGTCAGATTAGGTGGTCCAAGGCCAGGTAAACCAGAACGAAGTCAGGAGTGAGCGGGTGGTGGACAAGTAGAGGCAGCTGTTCTCCGTGGAGAAGGTTGAAGAAACTTTCCGGTGAGCTAATTTACTTTCTGTCCTCATGGATTTGCCTGTTCTGGACATTTCATATAAATGCAATCATACAATATGGGGCCTTCGTCACTTAGCATAACGTTGAGGTTCATCCGTGTTGCAGCATGGTGTTCCCTTATATGGATGCACCATATTTTGTTTATCCATTCATCAGTTGTTGGACATTTAGGTTGTTTCCACTTTTTGGCTATTATAAATGAAGCTGCTGTGAGCATTCGGGTACAGGTCTTTCTGTGGACGTATGTTTTCTTTGCTCTTGGGTAGATCCTCTATGGTTTTTGTTGCTGTTTGTTTTTCCCTAGCGCTCATAGTAGCCCCATTTATTCACTTGCTTACTTTCCATGTTCCCGTAACTAATGCAGCCTTAAATTTTGTGACAGAAACTCAGTTTGGTGGTCAGTTTTTTGTTTTTTGTTTTTGTGGTACGCGGGCCTCTCACTGTTGTGGCCTCTCCCGTTGTGGAGCACAGCCTCCGGACGCGCAGGCTCAGTGGCCATGGCTCACGGGCCCAGCCGCTCCGCGGCATGTGGGATCTTCCCGGACCGGGGCACGAACCCATGTCCCCTGCATCGGCAGGCGGACTCTCAACCACTATGCCACCAGGGAAGCCCGGTCAGTTCCTTTTATCGCCCTTGTTGATGTCTCTCCTGGAGCCTTCCCTCTTTTTGCCCCATTTGATGCTTGTCTAGGTCTGCTGTTTCGCACTTATCCTGGGTCTACCCTTAACCATCACCCGGGGTTGGGGGTGATGTTCAAGCCCTTGTTCCCCAGTTCTTGTTTTTTTTTTACTCCCTTGTTTTGATGGAGCACATCCTCCAGTAGCTTCCTAAGAAAGTGTACTTTAGAGGTAAATTTGGAGGGCTTTACCTCTAAAAATATCTTTATTCTGACGTCTCTGATTTGATAGTTGGGGTGGGTTTAGAATTTTAGGTTGAAGCCATTGCCTCATTGTTTTCTAGTTTCCAGTAGTTGAGAAATCTGATACCATTTTGATCCCTGACCCTCTGTGTGTGACATGTTTTCTCTGAAAACTTGTGGGCTCTTGTCTTTGTCCTTGGTGATCTGAACTCCATGATGATGTCCACTGATGGGCTGAGCTGTCAGTCACTGTCCCTGCTTGGTGGGCTCTGAAGGGCTCACAAAGTCAGATACCTACATTCATGCAGTCTTCCTGCTGGTAGCCCACCCTGTACCTTAGGCTGCAGAGTAACTTGCTGTTCCTGAGCCTTTGGGTGGCACCGTCTAGGGCCTCTGCTGGCTTCTCCCAGCAGTCAGTTCCGTCTGGCGCTGGAGAGGCGCTCTGTAAAAGTGTGTCTAACGAGGAAGGGAAGGCGCTTCAGGTTGGGGTGTTGGGTGGGCCCCTAGTCGAGGTGTCCACATCACTGGGAAGATCGGAGTGGCCGGCCTGTGTCGGGGAAGGTGTGGCCAGCACACCACTGGCAGGGAGGCGGGTAGAAACTGGCTCCATGTTTCTCCAGTGAGTCATACTCCGGAAAAACTGCTCAGTGAGGTGAAGCAGAGATCTACTTTTTACCCCTTTCTGAAGATGTGAGCTTTCTCTTGACACTAGAATATATATCACTGTTGCTAGTGCTTGGCTGGAAAGAGCTGCTGCTGCTCTTAGCTTATTTATTTTCTACCAGTTTTTAGCGCCTGGTCTCATCCGCTTCCATTTCGTGGGATACATCTTCTAGGGTTGCTCAGACCACTGAACCAGTCTCCTGGGGTTTCTCCTTCTTCCTGGGTCTGTTTGGTTTCGCCCTTGACAAACGTGTTGCATTCACACCTGGCCTTTGGTCCAATGTTCTTGAGCGCTGCCTGCCTCTCATATCAGTCTTTTCTGTCATTCTCATACTCAGCTCAGGTCTTGGCATTTTTTCTTGGCATTTTTTAAAAAGTGTATTTTTGCTCCTGTATCGAATAGATCTTTTCTTTCCTCAATTTCATAATTTAAAAAAGAAGTTCTTAAGCAACTTTATTCAAATAGTGCTCCCTGAATATCAAATTGTCTATCCTGCTGGATTCTTGTCTGAATTTTATTAACGTGCACATGAAATGTTACAGCATTTTCACTTACAGGTTGCTGTATGTTGAAACAGTTGAGGTATAATTGCCTGTGATCCAGTGTAATTCATCTGAGGGGGCAAATACCTATCCATGTCCCTGTGGAACATTTGCATCATTTGCAGTTTTTCATTAACATAAGTCCTGTTGCCCTGAACACAGATGAGCAGATCACTTTGGAGTTAGTTCGTTGGTGTGTGTTTCTCGTCAAGGACTCTTCAAGTAAAGAGCTGGGTGACAGCTCTTACACACTGCCAGCTGTAGCCCTTTCATTTTTTAAGACTTTTCCAGTGTTATAAATTACTGTGGTGATTGGAACTTACCACTCGGAAAATATTTTCATTTTTTCAAAAAGGTGATATATTCATATGGTAAAATAAAAAGTATGAAAGGGTACTGTGAAAAGTCTTG